TTTTCATGGATCAACTCCAAATACGGCATAGGAATATTGTATATTTCAAAATATAAAATGAAATTCAATTATTTATTATAAAATGAAATTGAATTTTAAGGAATCTTATCTATGTTCCCCATAAAGACAAGCCATCATGGTTAATTATATTTCAGGATAAACTTGTAAAGAAAACTCTCGATTAAGTGGTGATTAAATCTTATTATTTACAATGACACGGGTAAGGATTTGAGTTTATGATTTAAAAATAGGGATTGATTGAAAGTTGAATAATTATTTTTGAAATTTCACAACAGAAAAGGTAGAGAGTGCTTTTGATTCTGGATACCCTAAAGGCACTCTAACCTATACTATGATTAGGCTATAATGATTTATAATAGAATGAAATTTATGTTTGAGTTGATCAAAAATTTTTAGAAAGCATGATAATACTCTAAGAAAAAAAGTGTAGTATAATGTATCTTGACTTGTGTTTGTTTGGAGTGGACTGCTAACTAACCACCTAAGCGTTTTTAAAATATGATTTCAATTCTAAAAAAAAAAACAAGTAGGATGAGCATGCTATCATTCACTTAGGAGTGAAAGGTTTATAATTAAGAATTTAATCATGATTCAAAGATGCTAGGGTTCAAATGCTCCTAATTAATGATATTGAAATATCTTTTTTCTTAACTTCTAAATTTTCTTTTATGCAATTAATACAATCTATTACTTGATGCTCATATGTACTACTCGCCACATCATAAAGTAGTAAAAAATATAAGGAAATAAATACTATTAACTTATCCAAATGAAAAATTTTATTAAATAACATAGTTCTTTGTATAGATGCTCAGCCAAGAACACACATAATACATTAAAAAGATAAGTGTGTGATAAGCATACTTCTCCTCGTATGCCACTAAGCATACTTCTCCCCCTCTTGGCCAGTCACTGGTCTCAACCTACCCTACTACAGCATTTGCACATCCATGCCAACATATGGAGTTCTAGCCTCTCTTGAGGACTCAACATCTTATAACTCCTCATCAACTTGCACCCCTATAATCAACACTAAAAACTTAATAAAGTTCAATAAAATAATCTTGGAGTCATAGCCAAGAGCCGATATGAAGAACAAATCCTGTTGAATATTGAAATATGCCCACTTTCCAAAGCCTTCATATTTGCTTACTTGGTGTGGATGCCAGTATATCTCGCTCAAGAAAACATAGATTGTAGGCTCTCATCACACTGAATACTATTTTTTTTTTCTAATAACTTTTTTAAAAAAATACTCTAATTTGCGCCTACTTAAGTAGGGCACTTAAGAACTCATGCTAACCTCAATAGAGGAGACATCTTCCATACTCCCCCCTATTGAGTGGCCTAGTGCACTTGCCTCCTAACTCACATGTTAGAAGGCTTGTCATCCTCATCCGGAATTAGAATGATCCTCATAGGAGGGTCAGCATCACAGCGATGGTGAGCATAGTGTTGTCAATCATCGTAGTCGCCACAGTATCTTCAACTACTCTTTCTTTGCATATGGTGGTTGTGACAAGTTAGTAGATCTTAGGCCTCATCTGGGCGCTTTCATCAACTCCCTACTTAGTGAGGACCTAGTTGCCTCATTTACCTTTTTTCATCATTCTTAACTCACCTCTAGCGGAAGGAGACCTTCCTTGAGTCCCTTAAGCGGTAACTAATGCCTATTGGTAAGGTTCATTTTCTCAGCACTCAAACGGTCTTAGATCACAAAGTAAAATAGTGAAACTCTCTCTTCACAAGCTTCCTATTAATAAAGAGCTAAGTGGAGGGTGGTGTCACATCACTGTCATCAATGTGAGGTCAATACAATCATCGAGGATACAATAAAAGTTAGGGAAATAACTCTACATTTACTTTTCTACTTCATGTTTCGCAGTTGCATTTATTAAATTAACTCATCATTTTCTTTTACTCATCTATAAAAGGGCGGGTGAATTAGGAAACTAAATGTTTAATCACAAATGCCTTCACTGGTATTTAAGATATAACTAGTGTGTTATAATGAAGGAACTCACCCTGAAGAGGGTTCTATAGTTGAATATTTTCTAATGATCAAAGCAGCACTACTTGTCTAGAACACGCATAAGAACTTACACAATATGATAAACAAGCACTACTCGCCTGAGCCCGCTAAGGAGCTCACCCTTTTTCATGGGATGGATAAGGGATTCTATGATCACTCCTACACATACTCACCAAGCTCGGGTACAACAAAGCACCTATTCACATGGCCCTCAGCTCATCTCATCACGACCACTCACTCAATGCTTTCCCTATCATGATAACATCTCAATAACTCTCTTCTCAGATTATTTGATATCTCTCATATAACTCATTCAACAATGCTCGTTGGTCATAGTTCCCCTCATCTAAGCACTCACCTATAAAACTCGCCTAAGCTTGCTCAAGTACTTAGCACTATTTTGAGCCTGCGAGAGACAAATCGTCAAAGCTCTTCTAACCTCGCCCTCCTTCAACCAATTAGGAGGTGACACATGTTATGCATACTATCTAGTGTTGTACTTTTTACTTTTTAGAGCATAGCCTTTCCTGTAGCCCAAAGCACCCTATATTAACCAGGTGATAAGGAGTAGTTTGACAATTTTGTTTATTCCAGTGGATTCAATGTTGGCTTGAGACTCGTAATCCACTTAAACTTGTTCGAAATTTTTTTTCCTCTTCAATTTTCTCTTACCTTCATTCTCATGCAAGTCCAACTCATTAGCTCACCGACAATATTGCTATAAAGTTAGGTGTCGCTACAGGACAATTGAATACAACACTTAAGTTCATGAATATTCTTGCTAATCTTAATGATTATTATGTTCAACATAAATAAGTCCTTAACACAAATATCTAGAATTATACCATACATTGGCAACAATTAAGTGCGAGAGTCACCAAAACAATCCTGCCAGGATGGTCTATTTAATTACATGTCTAACCTTGCCAAACATTCTACAATAATTTATAAATAAATTCAAAAAATTCATATGTTTAGTGAGTAAATTAACTGAAAGGGTTTCTAATATGTTCAACTAAAACGACTAATTAAACACAATAAAAAAATCAAGGAATCATTTACTATTTATGAAATTAATTTCAACAGATTCAACGAAATATTTATATGCAAATTCAAAAAAAAAATCAAATAACAAAAGTTAATCGAGCATAAATAATAAATCGAATATATAACAAAATTAATATCTAATTAATCTGCTCTTTGATCAGGCTTGATCTTCAAATATCGACGATTTGAACACAAACCCGAAAAATAATTTTTTGAGACTGACAAACTAGCTTAATGAGACCAGAGCAAGTAAATTTTGAGAAATTTAAGAGTGCGAGGAGGGAATAAAAACCAATGGGATATATAGGGAAAATCAGAATGAGCAAAGCCTCCTACTCTAGCGGCTTCATCTCAAAATACATACCTAATTCGTTTTAAATTAAATAATAAAAAAATGCATCAATCTCTGAAATAATGCAGCAATTTGATGCTCAGCTGGGAAAAATTATTCTGTGCGGAAAACTGGACGTCATCCGGAGTAAATCTGAGTGCGTCATAATCACTTTTTTTGCTTGAGTACCGTAGTTGAGTATCGAATGATGTGTCGTGCACTTGATTTCTTCAGATTGCCCATTTTCCGCACAAAATAATCTCTCCCCCACAGTTTAAGGTTGCCCTGTCTGAGGCGACTAGATCTGAATTCAAAAAAAAAAAAAATTTATGGGAAAATAACTCTTTCGTGTCATCTGTGCATAAAATTTTTGCCTCTTAACCATGTGAACCTGTTGTCAATATATAAAGATTGACGAACAAAGAGAGTAGTACAAATACTTCAATCTGTCTGGGATGGCCGTAATTACCAACCACAAATTCTAACATCGCTTATATTCTCATGAACATACAAATTGGTTCCTCCTTTGCTGAAAATGCCGTTAATGGCTTACAAATACTAGTCTGCGTAAATCTAAAGGGCATACATCTTTTTGTACTCACTGTTCAGCAGCTCAGAGTCAGAGGGCATTGATAGAGACCAGGACCTGGATCTGCTACCTGAGCCCCTGCTGATGCTTCTCAAGCTCTTCTCCTCCATCCGGTGGACCACAATGCAGTAGCACATTGACCCTATTGTGGTGAGCATGATTGAAGCACCTATCGCCATGGTGCACCAAGCCAACCACCAGTCTTTGCGGCCTACGACAATGTAGGTGAGGGAGATGAAGGAGATTGAGATAAAAAGGCATGCCAACCACATCAACTTGTTTACAATAAACACCATAAGTTTCTTTGCCTTTTGCTCAACTACTATCAAAGAAGTTTGGGCCACAACAACTGCAAGAGATATGAAGAGTGCGAGGGAATCGAAAACAAGGAAGATGATGAAGGCTGCATTGTTAGCAATATTGGCTTGGCCAAGGGTTAACCCAGCAGGGGCTGGTTCCTGAACAAACTGTCCTGGAACGGTAAAGATGGCGGCGAAGGCAACCGTGGCAATAAGTACAGCAACAACAGTGTTGGAGTTGATGGCATTGTTTAGGCCACCACTATGAAGTTTTCGGAGCCGCTTCTTGATGTTCTGGACCCGAATGTCGGTCTGTCTGGTCTGCTTGAGCTGGGACTGGACATCATGCTTGATGTCACTAACAGTCTGCTTTAACTGTTTTGCTGGGCTAATGTGGTTGTCCTGCTCTATGAAAGCCACTGCACCAGCATCCTTGAGGGTAGCAGCAATTTCTTCCAGGCCGCTTTTTTCTGCAATGGAAAGGGCGGTTTCACCAGCTCTGTTGAGTGCATTGATTTGGATACCTTCAATTGATATTAGAGTTTGCACAATCTGCGAAGATGATGAGGGAAGGAATTACAACAGACTGGCAAATAAACGTATTGGTTTATCAAAGAACCAAGATGACAAAATATTCAGCCATGTTTTCTTTAGTTATGATTATCCTAATTTTGAAGAACACGGCAATCATAGCTTTAAATCATGCCCATATTATATGTGATAATTTTAATCCCAAACTATCCAATTTAATCTCTTAACTCATTAAAATTAGTTTAACAGTTAGAATGTCTATTTAGGATGACAAAATCTAATATTGGAGGGAGGATTAGAGGATAATCTATCATGCATGCTTTTCTTAGGCTTCTCTTTTCATTTTTAGTTGACACAATCCCTGATTTCGCCTCTTATTCAATATACTAGTGGAGAAGGTAGATTGGAAATTGCAACGAGCAATGGAGAATGAATATCGGAGACTGCAACGTGGGTATTTATTCTCATTTGAACATTGCAATCTCCACCCTCCCTTCTCCTCTAGGGCTTCTCATTCAACAAAGGCTGTAAGTCGAGTCACACATGTAATTATGGATTCTGATGAGTAAAAAAAAGCAGTAGAAAAACAACTATGATCATACAATTTCAATCATCCCAAATCAAAATTTTAATGGTGGAACAAATATTGATATTTGTTGACCTCTAAGGTGCCAAATTGAAAACATCAAATAATCAGGGACAAATGATCATGCAAACAAAATCTGGGGATCATTTTATTTTATTTTTCAAGGAAATGTGGACTCCAAAAATTTGCATTGCAGCCTCTCCGTGGACCTCTTTCTTATCTTTCTCTTTCGTTTGGGTAATCGAGGAGAGTTTTAACACCAAAGTTTCAAGGCAAATTGGGTTTGAAATAAGAAAATACGTAGAGATTTCGCCCTCATTTTGCGAAGACTTTATGATATGAGTTCAGGCTTCCTATAGACACAAGCCTCTATAGTTAATTACACCTCCTAATAATGAAAGAGCGTCAAATAGATAGGTAGAGATACGTGGTATCTGGTGTATAGTAGTAGCATGGGAATTAATAGTTAAAATTAAAATTTTCACCATCTTACACTTAAAGTAGACGGTAGGGGGAATGATGATGAGCCCGATCAAGATCCCATAGTTCCATCATCCCGGGCCATCATAATCTATAGTCTACTTATTCAAAGGAGGTAGTCAACACAACCTGACAAAAGGATCATTGTCGCCAACCATGAGCTGCTTTTTCCAAGGGTACCTTTTAGACCTGGGGTGAGTAATTATCTAAGGGGACAAATTTGAATCCCCTTAGCTAACAGAGGGCTTTGTACCTTATCGATTATATCCTTATTGATTCATATCTCAAGGATTTGAAGTTATTGGAGAACATACGAGCTATGATCGTAACTATTATATAGTGTAGTCATTTGACCAAGCCACTAGGTCGGAAGGTCGCAGTCATAATTGTTTATCACGCGGAGCCATCTGGTCAAACCACAGATTATTTATGGAGCCATATGGCCAAACTACTGATTAAAGGATCAAAGTCATGTCCTTACTAGAAAGAGATGGATTGAGAATGAATCATAGTGATATTCTCGACCGGATATTGGCTCTTTGTTAGCTGAAGTATATTTTCAAACTTCTTCACCTCAGCAAACTGTTGTAGAGGGTGGATAAACTTTGCTTTAAGTGTTTAGTAATTGATTTCAATATTAAATATTTAAATTTATCATATTTTTGAATTTTGGATTTTTTATAGGCATCTAGGAATTTATGAGGTATTTTAAATATTTGGGATTCCCTACTGTTGACATAAGCATTCAACATGACTATCATCGGGCTAATTATGAGTGATTTCACTTGTTGATTGAACCATGTCAACTATGTTTACTTACCATCTAGTTCTTCGTAAGCTTTATGCCTTTATTGATGAATTTTCTTTGTTGTAGACCTTAAAGGCCTAATCTGAACATATAAAACAAATATCCCGGTGGACGTTACGACCGTATATTTGTTTGGCAGTTTGAACTGTGTCGAATCCTATTGACTTACATATAAGGATTGGGTTCGAACTTATTTTTACTTATTAACCCGCGTAGTATCCTCACATATTACGTGTATGCACATAACACGCTCGTCGGGGTCCATACAAATATATATGCATACATGTTAATATGTTTGTATGTGTACTTTCATATTTGTATGTATATATGTTACAGTGCATGTGTGAGGGAATTTGAAAATATATGATCCCCTCTGTTTAGATAAACATTCAATATGGTCATCATCGGGGTATTTATAGGCAATTGCATTTACTGATTGAACCCTATTGACTCTGTTAATTTACCGATAGATGATCAGGTTCATCGTAGTCTTTATGCTCTTATTTAATGAATTTTCCAAATTATAGGTCTTAAATATTTAATATAAACGTATTAAAACAAATACCTCGGTCGATGTCGTTACCATATATTTATTTGATAATTTGAATCGAGCCGACTCCATCTACTCACATAGAAGGATTGTAATTGAACTTGGACTTATCATTTGAACCGCACAACATCCTCATATGTCACGTGTACCTGTAACATGTTCGCTGGGGCCAATACGATTATATGATTTTACGTGCAATTTGTATGATGCGGTCATACGATTGTCAAACATATACAGTGGATATGTATGTCATATATACATATGTGTATACGTATTTGCACGAGTGCTTGCATATTAACATAATAGGCTCTATATGTTGCAATGCATGTATGAGGGCATTTTAAAATATTTAACATCAATTAACTATGCAAATGATTATCCTTTGAGTGTGCACAACATTTTGATTGGAAGCTTGTAGACACCTCTATTTGCTTGTATGTGCGTTGCAGATCTGGTGGTGCGGCGTTACACTATGGTTGTTTGTTGCTTCTTATAGATGAGCTGTTGTTGAGAAATGCACAGGGCTCCACCTGGGAGTTTATAAATGTCTTCATCCGCTTGTACGCATGTTGCGGATCCGATGGCGTGATTTAGTAGTGCGCTAGGTCTTATTTGGAAATGTGTAAACACCTTATGTCCGCTTGCATGGATTTTATGGATCCGATGGCATAGCATTGCGAATTGAATTTCATCTTCTACAAGTTATCTTCGTTGATATACTGTGTATTGGAATTGATAGACACTTTTTGTCACTTGTATACATGTTGGGGATACGGTGACATGACGTTGTGCTTTAACTACTTGTATCTCCTGCAGTTGTTTGCAGGTGTTCCAAGTTGTATGAGGTCTTTTTGTAATAGATGAAGTGTCATATTTTGATGAGACCAAAGGCTCGAATAACGTGCAATTAGATATCTTTGTCAATTGAAAGACTCAGTTGTACTTGGTCAACAAAACCGTCAGGTTCAATATACACTGAGTGCACTTTTTATCATTACAGTTATTAATTGCGAGGGTTTTCTACAGTGGTTCACGGGCGCTTAAATTTGTTGTAGTCCTCCTGCATTTCCTCTTAGATAGCATGTTGAACCCATGAAGATAGCGACTCATAGGTATCTGCATTTGTTCATAGATAACATGTTGAATGTATGCCTGTGTTCATAGAAAACCCGTCACATCTACAACATATCTACCAAGGTTGCTTGCAGGTGCATTGCCACCTCTGTCTGCATTGATTACAAGCATGTTGTAGCATTCAATGTGTACTACTTAAATATATTTGTGAGAGATACTATTTATAGAAACATTGATGTGTTCATTGCATATTGATCATTTGTTCGTAGGAGAATGGCATATTCATTTACCTATTGATGGTTTTAGGAATTTAGTTATCACCTACGGTTGGTTATCACTAGTAGGTGTATGTAACAATTCTTCCGCCATCACCAGTAGTTGTTTGCATTCATTATGTGTTATATTGCAAGAGGAGTTGTATTCCCATATAAGTTGATGTTGACTATGAGATTGCTACACTTGCCATTATGCTCTTCATGCTCTGCTCATGAATACATTACCTATGTTCATTACAACTATCGCATAGCCTTTTCATGAGTATGAGCGTTGCACATCAATTAACATCATGCATAAGTAATTCATGATGCTTGCAGAGAATTGTGTTTCTTTTCTAACGTGTCTTTCAAATTGATGTATCGGCCTGACATTGAATTGTTGATGACTGTGTAAATGCCCTGGCATTCATTGTATGTTATTTGTTGTCACCCATAGGTGGGCTACTATATGCGTGAGGAATCTCCTGCAGCAGCTTATAGGAGCTCATACATATTGCATATATGTTATCTTTTCTTGAAAACGATATATTGTGTGCATATCTATGTATATAGGGAACAGGTCATCGTTGAAATACATCTGTTGTTGTTGATTATAGGAACTATTATGTTTTTTTTTTTATGACTTACGTGATCATTGGACATCAATTACCATCATTCGTAGGCAGCTTGTATTATGTTTATGATCAAATTATATATCCCCTATAGTAATTCACCGATGGTCTTATTGTGCACATTACAAATCTTCTTGCGTCATGAACAAACATACGTGTTCATTATAAGCCTCAATAGTCATTTGTATACGAGCTGTAGTTTTCATTATGAATATTTTGATCATTAATTTGTTTTTATTCAATTTAAATCACAACGTGAATTTTTATTTTTGCTCGTTTAATTAGGTCCAATTTTCTATTGTTCGAATTTAGTCTGGTTCCCTGCTATTCAATAACTTGCAAGTTCAGTTCAGTGTTTGGGGTTCATATTATGTTCTTTGTGGTCTATTCAAATCCCCTGCATTTTGTTCAAGTCAGGTCCTCTGTCAGTTAAAATTTTAGTAGCCTCCCAACATCTCCCCTGTTTAGGAGAAATTCGATAATCTAGGTCTTCCCATCATGCTACGAAGAGCATGTATGGGTCTTCGAGGCAACTATTTGAAAACACAGATTTTCTTCACAGGTGCTGAAGCACATACACGGGTACATAAATTTGTCCTCGCCACGCAACAAAGAGCATGTATAGGGCATATCTATCTCGTCGCAAGCACCACACAGGATTCCCTCCCATTATGCTACGAGAGCGTGTACAAGAGATCTATTGGCACGATACAAGCACCGAAAATAGGATTTTAGGGATTTTTTGAGTTTGGAGACATTATACCTGACGAGGTGATGATAGCAGTAACGAGGTCAGTGGCACGGAGATCGAGATACAATGGCGAGGGATCGAACACACAAAAAACATTTGTTTCCTCTCTTCTCTTTTTTATTTCTTTTTTTATTTTCTCCTTTTTTATCTTTTTTTAATAATAATCATCGATTAAAAAGGCGTTCGAGGCGGACGCCTCGAGGCGCGCCTCGAATCAAGGCGGAGGTCGGGCGAACTGAGGCTTAAGCCTCGAACGCTCGGGCGAGGCTTACGCCTTTTTCCACGGAGGCTTACGCCTTGTGCATCGAAGAAGAAATTTCGCTCCTACTCCATCTCATTTTAACGACACGAGCAAAATTTGATCGAGGAAATCGCAGAACGGTGTCGGCGTCGAATAGCAACAAGCATACTTTTCTGAAATTTTTTTATTTTAATTAATAATAATAATAATGATAAATTTATTATTAGTTTAGAATAACTAAAATAAATTAGAGGTTAAAATTTCCATTTTCGCCTCGATTTGCACGTTGTCGCCTCAGTTTATGTGCATTTTCATGAAATCCATGCATTTCTTCCTCAGGATGGGCGCTGATTTTCTTGTGTGATTTTTATTGGCAAATTTAGTCTAATTTAGGTATTAACGAAGTTTCGAAAGCAATGGTCAAGTCTGTTTTGCAATTGGACATCATTTGAGCAATGTCGCACGTCAGTTTCTTCAATTTATTACTTTAATTGAACAAATTTATGATCATTCTTGGGTATTGATGACACTCCAAATGCAACGGTGAAATAAGTTTTGCGATCGGATGTAGTTCGAGCAACATTGCACATCAATTCTTGGTTTCGGACATCCGTTTTGACCGATCTCATACGATTTGACTACAAGGAGTTCCCTCTTAGACGAGTTAGATGTCCCGATTGCAATGGCGTAGTCCATTTAGCAATCGAAGGTCATTTGGCCCTTGAAGTGACGCGTCGTGCAAACGTGCGCATTACTTAAGTCGCCGACTTTACCTCTTTTTGCCCGTACTTTGAAATAGGGGTCAACATGAAAAAAAAAAACTTAAGAAAGTGGACATTTTTTCCTCTGGATTTAAACCATAAAAAATGTACCGATAATTGATGCTTGTTGCCATTCAAGTAAATAGCAATCCACATAGTGAAGCACTAGAGAACATAATGAGCTTGATAAACTCCCAGTTCAATTAAAAAGTTCAAAACTTGGAGGGGATTTTGAAACGAAGGTCAGTGCAACTGCATACGCTCGCACGCGGGGGGGCATAGCCAAGAAGGGGGAGCTATTTAGGATGGTTTATAATCAAGAGGCAGTTGCAATAAACCATAATGAGGTTCACACACCTAGGTCTTCTGAAATGCCAACCAATTATGTGTCACAGTGTGCTCTTGCATGTACCATGGGACCTGAATCTTATTATAGTTCTGAAGATAATGTAGTCCCAAAGGAATCAAAGCTGGAATTGAGGCCTAAGAACACTGGTTGTGCTGCTTACGAATTTTTTGATAAAATGGGCAGGTAAATCAAACATGCATAACAACTGGGTTTTGGAAAATCAATTAAAATTTCTAGCAAAAAGAAAACTTGAGAATTATAAAGCAAAGTATGGAATGGTTATTATAAATATATGTGAAGAATAATGATTCCAACCACACTGCATTATTTCTTTGAGCGAACTTGAAAATAGTGGAGGAAAAGTTTTGGTTTAATGGTGTGACCTTCCTCATGATGAGTGTACCTGAGAGAGATTTGATGAACATGTCATTCAAAATATTTCTGAACTTTTGAACTTAAACAATTTGAATCTCATACTTCAGATAAGGACGCTAGTTCTGGCAGTGATTCAACACTTTTCAGATATTGAAATCAATGTATCAATAAGCAAGAGCCGGAAGGAAAAGATCAGGAGAATCCTAGATGACAATGAGCTTGAGGAAGAAACAAAGGAAAAAATAGCAATAGAGAAGAACCGACGAGAATATCTAAGATTTATGCAAGCATAGGTTGCTAAGAAATCCTATGGAAAAACTCTAGTAGAAATTAACAGGAGCATTTCAGCAATTGAAACTCTCATAATGTTTGATGATCCAGGAGGACTTTTAGATGGACAAAACCTTCATTCCACCTTGAGGACAAGGTGCATTTTTGGGAGAGAGTATTGATATGCAGGGGCAGGGGAGGCACAACCAGGAAGAAGCTGTTTAGGAATGTTCATAATCAAGAGGGAGTTTCTTAGAAAAGTTTCTAATTAAAAGAAATTATTTAGGAAGGTTCTTAATCAAAGAAAATTATTTAGGAATGTTCCTAATAAGGGGGAGTTGTTTAGGAAAGTTTCCTAATTGTGTTTATACTATTCATGAAGTATTTAGATGTTTAGGAAGGTTTACTAAAATATGTTCACTTTTTTTAGGAAGGTTTCCTAAATCATATTCAATTGTTTAGAAAGATTTCCTAAATCATGTTTAATTATTTATGAAGGTTTCCTAAATTGTGTTTATGTTGATTAGGAAGATTATATTTATTTAGAAAGATTTCCTAAATTATATTTATACTGATTAGGAAAGTTCTAATTATGTTATAGTGTTCTAGGCTATTTAAGGAGTTTGTTTATGGTTTAAAGAGGATATTGTTGAGTTTATTTTCCTAATGTTTATTATGAGTTCCCAGTGGCATCTAGGGTTTGTGGGAAAGCTAGTCTATCTTTTGAATAATAGATCAATTGTATCTTGCTTTATTATTAAACGAAAAATAAAAAATCAACACTATCTTTGTGTTCAAATGTTGTTATTCTCTTTTATTTGTTGTTTTTACTTTCAAGGCGTATCAAAAAGCTACAAGATTATACCACTTTACAATTAACCATATATGTGAAAAAATAAAAAGGTTTGGAAGTTTCACACAAAAGCTAACTATATCCGATGAAAAACAAAAAAAAAGTCCTAAAGCCACCAAATTACATAGGGACTTGTCATCTCAAAATTTAAAATTGTTGGCATTATCTGCCTCATGACCTATTCTAATGATTTTGATGATAACAAATCTATGCTTGGATGTTCTAATTTGTGTGTTAGATTTGCAAGATAATTACTTATATGGGATGTACATTGCACAACTCAAATTCAATCAAAATTTGAGCTAGAAGTACTCAAAATAGACCAAGATGGATAGCTTGAAGGCTTTTATATTAGGAGTAACTTGGAGGTCCATAGATATTTATTTGCATTGTTTGATTTGCTCACAATATAAATATCTATTAAAATTATTTTCATAATACTAATTAAGGATAATAAGTTTAATTTAGATCTATAAGAATCATTTATTAAATATAAGCTTCATAGATTACATAAAATTTATCAAATATGAAAAGTTACTTAATTGGGGTAATTAAAAGTAAGAAGCTTATATGATTAAAAATATTTTATGTATTCATTTTGAATTGAATTTGTTTCATAAAAAATTACTAATATATAAATTTTCTAAATTACATCATATTGTTGTATGGGTATTTAATACATCTTTAAATACATTAAAAAATTATATGCACATTTTTTCTTACTTAATATATCCACCTTATATGATTTAAGGAGATTATACTTAAATCAGCAAGAAAAATATTTTTATTTATATTTTTAGTGGATTCTAATCCGAAAATTGGCTAACGTGGACATAAGCCGGATTGGAATCCGAGTTGAACCACCTAAAAATATAGTGCTTGTTATTTTCTTTATTTATATCTATTTTTCTTTATCATTTACATAGAAATTTGTGTATTTATTTATTTCCTTTCCAAATAGCATCAAATTTATTTTAATTATTTTTTTAATAAAAAATTATTAAAACCAAATTCACCCCCTCTCTTGGAGTGTCATAGTCATCCAACAAAAAACTATTTAAGGAACGGAGCTACTAGGCAGCATTAAAATAATTGTTAAAAATATTTTTTTGTCAGATGGTTTGAATTAAGAATTGCAGTGAAGACATCTAGACATCAAAACTAACCTCAAGACGACCTTTTCTGGTTGCAATATGCAGTGGTGTGTTTCCTTTATTATCTTCCACATTGACAATGGAAGAATCAGGTTTCAACAGTTCGAGGACAATACCCACATTATTTCCCTTGACAGCCATGTGAAAAGCAGTTTGTCCTTTCTTATCAGTCCTCAATCCAATGCCGGGGTCCTTAATCAAAAGAGACCTCACAACTTCAACATGCCCCATCCTGGCTGCTGAATGCAAAACAGTTTTGCCATTATTCCGCGCAATCTTGGCAAGACTAGCATCTGTTTCTAAAAGTAGATTGACTATGTCAACATGACCTTGAGTGGCGGCAGAGTCTAGTGCAGTGGCATTTGATGAACTCGTCGTCATAGCTAATGAGGGGAAGGTCTGCAACAGTTCTTTAAGTACGCCTGCAAAAACATAGATGTAAAGATCCACAATTATCTTAGCTAAACTTGTGGTGAATTGATGTCCCAAATATGTGTGATTGTGTAGGGGCGATTTATAGAGCATTAATGCGAAGCATTAATGCGAAGCATATTCAATGCCACATATGCTATGATAGAAATACTTAAGGCCACTTTCTATGTCCTGATATAAAGTTTTTTTTTTTAAGTGTAATAACATATGAAAAGAACAATTCATAAGATTTTTGGCTGCTATTAGTAAACATCTGATGAACCAGATTCATAAAACATAGTTCAATTGTTTTCTAAATATAGAAGTACTATCATGAGATGCAGTCATTAGATTAGTTGAGTCATTTGTATATTGGGTCCTATTGTCAGTTATTGTTCTTTCATGATTATTTTAGTCTATGCTATTAAATTTGTTAGCAACTTATTTAGCTAGCATTTTGTTTGTAGATTTCTCTATCTATCGTATATACATAAAAAGGGTTTTCTTTGTTAGTATTCTTTGCCATGTAAATCAACTTTTGGCAAGAATAAATTCTCAAATGGATGTGAATACCCTTCTTTAACTACTCTAGGATATATAATTTTGATCAAGAGTGAGATTTAGAGTATTCCATGAGAGCTGATATTTTGGTCCATGGCTTGAGCATAATTTTCTTAGCAAAATTTTCCATTTTATTGATTTACTTATTGTGCTCTTTATTGATCATTCTGAATCAAAACCATGATTTTAGAAAGTTACATATGCAGGATTGCTATCTTTGATTTTAGTTTAAATTGAATTTATGATTTTGTATTCATCATCTTTATTTATACCATAGACTTTTTAATTTCATTTGTCTTACCGTAAAAAGCCATGGATAACTAGATTTCCCTAACCGAGAATAGCTGTATGTGATTTCTTCTATAGGTTAAACCATTTAAAATCCTTACATGTTTTCTTCAGCCAGATAATCATCCCATACACCAAAATCATGGTCATACAATGCAAACAGTCTCCTCTCTCTGCAATCTGAGTGGTGTTAGTATAGGGCAGGCTCTAAGTACATTTGCAACACAATCCTTTTTCCAATGATATTCTGTTGCTCATAGTGTTTCAAGATAAATTTTGGAAATAAAACAGAGTGGTGGAGCAGGAGAAACTACGGATTGCATTACTCCATTTTAGCACTAAGCCAGTGATGGAGTAGGCTATTTTGCCACTAACTATGCCATGCCTTCCCCTGACATGTGGAGGTTCTTTAGCAAATCCATCCAATAAATCTCATCTTACTTGTTCCAACCGGCAAATCCATCCAATAAATCTCATCTTATTCGTAGAAATTATGGGATTTTGAGGGACAGATCCCTAGAAATGACAATAAGGGATCAATTGTAGGCTTGATTTCTTAAAAGCAATGCCCATTAATTATGTAACCAAGAAGAGATAACATGTCATGAAACAAGTCTATGGATAAGTTAACTTTGTATAATATCTAAAACCTTTCTTGACTGTTTGATAAGATCACAAAAAGCTAGTTTAATATTTTTATTATTAATTGAAGCTGACAGGTTTCCAAATTATGTTCAAAATCATGGTTTGGTATAAGATGTGGTTTGATCAATATCCCTCCTTGATTTTCAACCTCATAGAGTAAACTAGCATTTCAAAAGTGGTGAAATTATGTATGGATTCTGAAAGGCGCTTCTAGTTTTAGTTCAGTTCGTAGAAATTATGGGATTTTGAGGGACAGATCCCTTGAAATGACAATAAGGGATCAATATTAGGCTTGATTTCTTAGGAGCAATGCCCATTAATTATGTAACCAAGAAGAGATAACATGTCATGAAACAAGTCTATGGATAAGTTACTTTGTATAATATCTAAAACCTTTCTTGACTGTTTGATAAGATCACAAAAAGCTAGTTTAATACTTTTCTTATCAATTTGAAGCTGACAGGTTTCCAAATTATGTTCAAAATCATGGTTTGGTATAAGATGTGGTTTGATCAATATCCCTCCTTGATTTTCAACCTCATAGAGTAAACTAGCATTTCAAAAGTGGTGACATTATGTATGGATTCTGAGAGGCGCTTCTAGTTTTAGTTCAGTTCATCTTCCTCAATTTTAGTCTCCCCCTAAAGATGAGGGATTCAATGTGCTCTATGCTGAATAGATTTAAATCAAATGTCATTTGAGACTTGATGGAGACAACATTGTCATGAATTTCTTGATTTTGACATTTGTACTTGACTTTTAGTTAAGAGGTTTTCCATGTATCTGATAGAAAACAGTCCAAAGTGATGGAAAACAGAGCAGAAATCAGCAGTAAACATCAATTTTTCCCACAAAACTATAGGAAATCTGAGAGAAAACACTTAAAATTTACTAATAAGGAAAACAGCACAAAATATGTGGATCTTCAATTCGGAGGAAGAACCAACTCTACAATTGATGAGGACATCCGACCGTGAAAGTTTATCAGAGGATGAGACGAAGATCGACGGCCATGATTGTGCCACTTTATTTGAGTTATTATTTGTATTTTGATTTTTTGATGTATTTTTCTGTTTTTACCCTCACTTGAGGGAATAGGCCTATATGACTCCAGGGGGAACTTTTGTCATTTGTCTTATTATTGTATTTTGGCACTTTATAGCCTCCTCTTCTTTTTGAGGGGGTGGATGATTATTAAGAGAAAATTATGCACTTTGTTCTTAAGAGATTTGAGAGTTCTTATGAGAGTTGAAGTCCCTAAGTCAGGGCAACACACTACCCACCAACTGCAGGAAGCATCCAGGCTTGCGGTTTGAAGTCCCTATGTGAAGGCAAAGTATTACCCATCAGTCGCAGGAAGCATCTGGGCTCATGGTTTATCTTCTGCACCGACTCCCTCTTCTCCTTCTCCCCTAACGGCCACCTTCATCTTGATCTGATACCATTCCTCTTCCCGCAGTCCTTCCCCACCTCTCGGCCCAACCACTTCCACCAACGTTCACTTTCTCCAACCTTTGGCCGAACCCTTCCTCTCACCCAACCACTGGCCCCACTACCTTCCTAGCCGTCGGCCACCATCACTCCCCCCCCCCCCCCCCCCCCCCCCCCCTCCCCCGGCTCCAAAATTTCAAAATCAAGCATTCATTACTTTCCTAATATAAATTCTTATAAAATTGGATAGTAAAAAGATTTCAAATTTAAATAATTTAAAATTTGAAATCTCTTTCCTAAAAGAAAAGAGTTATGTTAGGAAAGCTTCTCCAATCATGTTATTTAAAATTCAAATAGATAAATATCATGATTTCTTACCCTAATTAATATTCCAAGATTGGCAAGTTATTAAACACACCACCTCCCCTTTTGATCTCAAATTTTAAATTTCAAATGCCCAATCACTACTTTCTATAATTACCACATTTTAAATTAGGAAGGTTTTCAAATCAGATTTTAATTTATTCAAAATTTGAAATCTCTTTCCTAAAATAACATGATCTATATTAGGAAACCTCTCCAATCATGCCAATTTGACTTTTTTAATGGGAGATTGGTCTTAATTTCCCCTCCCATAATTAATAACATAGGATTGGCAAGTCATAAAACACTCCAATCAAGTCCCTATCAAAGTGGCTGACCCAACCCTCTCTCCCTTTCCCCTTTTGCTCCTCCCAATTAAGTCTCTCAATCAATTACTCCAAATTAACTTAAGATTTGGGATTTGATTTAATTCCTATTTCCTTAATTAAGAGATCATAATTGCAAACTCTATTAAATCAATAATCCTACCCCAATCATTGCTAGCTTGGTTCTACATCACCAATTCTCTAGCCAAATAATAGAGCCCAAGCACCACACAAGAGATCCCAAATTAGATTCAAATTCAAGATAACCCTAACACTAGCAAGACATGACTAATTAAACTAAAAGGACAAAAGTTTAATTCCTAAACAATCCCTAATTTGAAATTTCCCTCCAATACAATGCTTAACTAAAGTGTGGGTCTCATCTGCTTAACCGCCGCAGCCACCCTTGGCCCCTTTGGCCCCTCCTCCTGTAAACCAAAACCGGTCCACTAAGGACCGGTTCAACAAGTTTAGCTGCCCCCCCTTGGGCCGGCCTAACATAACCCCCCTCCCAAAGACACACATTATCCTCAAGGTGAAATAAAGGAATTTTCACTTTCACCTTCTCATATGGCTCCAAAATAGAATCGAAATCGAGAAGATCCCTCCATCTAATAAGCACTTCTTTGTTTCCATCTTTATCTGATCATACTCCTCTCAACTTCAATGGTTATAAGACCACTTCCAACTCCTCTATCAGTGTAACTGGTAATTCCGCACTAATTGCATGATCCCATAAAGCTCTCCTCAACAGTGACACATGGAAGACTGTGTGTATGATTGCGAATTGGGGTAACTTCAAACGGTATGCCACTGCTTCAATCTTGTCCACGATTTCGTATAGGTCGAAGTACCTCGGGTCAATTTCTTGTTCCTCCTGTTAGCAACTATCCTCTGCCTGTAGGGTCGTAATTTCAAGAACACATTTTCCCCCACTTAAAATTGTTTGTCACTCCTATGTGATTTTGTCAGCCTCTTGTTGTGCCCTCAACAGATATTTCTTCAACTCCTTCAACACCTTGTCCATTTCTTCCAGGTATTGCTCAACTGAAGAAATTGGCCTATTTTCTCTCCCAAAGTGTACTAAGTGTCAGGAGTCTCTTCTATACAACACGTTAAAAGGAGTCATCTGTGAAGCACAATAGTATGATGTATTGTACAAATACTCGGCCCATGCTAACCATTTTGCCCACATCCTCGATGTTTTAGAAGCAAAACACCTCAAGTAAGTCTCCAAACTCCAGTTTACTACCTTTGTTTTCCACTTTGCCCGTCCGTCTAAGTATAGTCGGCAGTGTTTCTCTTGAGAATAGTGTCATGCAACCTGAACAGCTCTCTCCAAAATTAGCTGAGGAACACTTAGTCTCGATCAGACACTATTGACTCTCGAATTGCATGCAGTCTAACCACCTCTTTGATGAATGTTGCTGCCACTATTACTGCAGTGTAGGGGTGTCATAAGGGGATGAAATCTGCAAACTTACTCAGCCTATCAACCACCACCAAGATAATTGTGAACTTCGATCGTGATAGGCCATCTATGAAATTCATGGACGCTTCCTCCCATACCCTGTTTGGAAGTGATAATGGTTGTAGTAACCCGCCTAGAGCCATAGCCATGTACTTGTCTCTCTGACACACCTCACACCTTGCCATCATCTCCTCCACATCTTTATGTATTCCCTTTCAATAACTCAGCCGCCAGTCTCCTATAAACCTTCACTACCCTGGAATTTCCTCCAACTGCACTCCCATTAAACTCTTGTAATATGTGGGAAATATGGATGAAGGTTCGTGATATCACAAACCTCCCATGATGTAAGAGTCTCTCTCCCTCAAGTGAATATCTAGGATGGCTACTTGTATCCTTCATCAAACTCTCCCTAATCTTCCTCAACTCTTCATTCTATATGCTCTCTTCTTTGATAGCCCCCCAGTCTACCATCAATGGTACTGAAAATTACCATCCCCTAATGCTCTCCAACACATCTTAATAAAGCATTAGCCGCCTTATTTTCTAAACTTGGCATGTACTAGATCTTAAAATCATAGACTAGCAGTTTGGACAACCACCTCTGATGCTCCGCAGTCACCATCCTTTGCTCTAGCATGTATTTCAAGCTCCTCTAATCTGCCCTGACAATGAAATGCCTACCTAATAAGTAAAGACGCCACTTTTGAATGGACATCACAATCGCCATCAATTCCCTCTCATATACCGACTTTAGCCTAGCTTTGGTTGACAGCACTTGACTGTAGTATGCTATAGACTTGTGGTTCTGCATGAGTACAGCCACCAACCTATATCCAGACGCATCGGTCTCCACTCCCAAAATCTGGCTGAAATCCGGGAGAGCTAAAACTGGGACTATAGTTATGGCTCTATTATGTCTCTCAAAAGTCTCGTTCACTGCCTCTCTGATGTAGAACTTAAATGCTTAGGCAATGTTAAATAAGAAGTTGTACGATTTTAGATGAGAGCAATATTAAATATTAAGCTTGTAGCGATTTAAACAATGAAAGAAAACGAGAGGGGTGAAAATAGCTTAGGCCAAGTCACACAACTATAAGTTAAGATCAAAAAATAATCAATTATTCAAGCATAGCATACACGATTTATTTTCAACAAAAAAACCCCTAAATTAGCAATGAGATTAGGCACCATGTGAGTCAACTCACTCACTCTCTAGATTACTAGGCTTAGCGGAGCGAGTTAACACAATCTTTATGAATCAATTATGACCACAATTGAGAGCAATTAGGAAGATATAAAATTGGGAGGAAGAGTTCACATTCGTTAAGTTATTAGGCTTGATTTGAAGTGCGAGGAGGAAGATCCGGAGTCTTGGAAGTTGATTTCAAGGAAGTTCAGCATGAGGACAGCCGTATGGAGCCTTTCCGGCAGTAAACAGGAACCTTCCGGATGGCGGGACAGCAATAGAAACTTGATGGAACCTCTGGACAGCTGTTAGGAATCTTCAGGATAGCAACCAAGACATTCTAGACAACACATAACGGATCCCAAAATATTGGAATAGCAAGTAACTGAGGCTAGACTTTCAAGACAGCAATTCTGGTATATCCAGGAAATTTGGACAGAAATTAACTAAGTGGAAATCCCTTGGTATCAATATCAGTGGAGGGGAAAAGAGTTAATTCCAAAGAGGGAGAAAGGGGCCGGCCAAGCTTAGGGAAATTAGGGAATTTTGGTTCATATTTGGTGGAGAAAAGGGGAGAAATTTTTGAGTTTTAAATTTCCTAATTTTATTAGAAAAGGGAGGGAAGGGGGGCCAGCCAAATCAAACTCGATTGAGCTTGATTGATTGGTGTTTAATTGAATGTATTAATTAGATACGAGCGAGGGAAGGAGGAGAGAGAGATTTGTTAATTAATTCCCCTAATTGGAAGTCCAATTGAGGAATTAACTAATTGAGGGAGAGAGAAGGGAGCCGACCAAAGAGGGAGGGGAGGGGAGTTGTCCAAATTCAATGAATGTGAGAATTAAAATTGATTCTCAATCAATTTTGATTCTCAATCAATTTCAAATTTAATCAATCCTTGATTAAGGGAAGACTTTCTAAAATTAAACTAAATAATTGAGATAACAATTTGAAATTTCAAATTCGTTTGAATTTGAATTCAAAAACTTACCAAAATTAAAACAAGTTAATTTAGGAAAAAATAATTTTATGAGGGATAAAGATGGGGGGGGAGAGGAACCCGGCGGCTAAGAGGGGAAGAGAGGGAGGCCGGTGGCTTGGAGGTGGGAGATGGGGTAGCCGGTTGGGGTTATGTGGTGGTGGGGTTCGGCCGAGAGAGGGAGAGAGGGGGATGTGGCCGGCGATTTGTGGGGAAGAGGGAAGGAATGGAAAAGAGAAAATCGACCACGAACCCGGACGCTTCCTACAGTTGGTGGGTATTGTGATGCCCTCACCTAGGGACTTCAATCTCTCTAAGAACTCTCAAGCTATCCCGAAACACACAAGTGCAGAAATTTCTTGTAATAATCATCATTAACCTCAAAAAAGGAGGAAGTGGCTTTTAAATAGCCTCATATAATGAAAGAGAGTAAAAGACCAACATGCCCCTAGGGCTTACACATGACTAGGCCTTCAAGTGAGGGTATAAATGAAAAATACAATAATAGAAAAAATAAACTAATTCTAATACAATAATAATAAAAAATAAAGTGGTGTGATCATTCAAAAGAGGAAGTGGCTTTTAAATAGCCTCATATAATGAAAGATAATAAAATACCAACATTCCCCTAGGGCTTTACACATGACTAGGCCCTCAACTGAGGGAATAAATAAAAAATGCAATAATAGCCAAAAAAAACTAATTCTAATACAATGATAATAAAAAATAAAGTGGTGTGATCGTGGCCATAGATCCTCGGTCACGCCTTTGGTAGACAAATTCGACTGTGGGGAGTTTGAAATCTCAATCCTTAATGTGTTCACCTACTAGGGACCTTAACAAATTACCTAAACTCCTATCGACCACTTCAGTTTGGCCATCAGTTTGCGGATAAAAGGCTGGGGAGAATTCTAGCTTAGTGCCCATTTTCATCCAGAGAGTTTTCCAGAAGTAACTAGTGAACTTAACATTCCTATCAGTTACAATGGTTTTGTGATGCATTTAGATTTTGCTTAATTTTTTTTTTTGTTAAGAACAATATTAGTTATATTTTCTATTTTTTTTGTTTTTATGCTATCCAATGATGGTGGTAAATCCAATGATCATGGTAGGAAGAGGTTTGGATTTTGTTTCCTTGGGTTTGCCGGCTTGGGGGGTCCATTTGGGTAAACCGTGTAATCTAACGACCTCATTAAAGTAAAGTTTGACGATATGGGAGGCATCTGACGTCTTAGAGCAGGGCAGAAAATGTGTCATCTTGGATGAGATGATGATAGTGGAAGATGAATGGTGACCCATAAGAAAATGCATACAAGAGTATCCCTACATTATCACATTATTTGAATGTTGTATGTACTTAATTTTTATATTGACATAGTTAATTTCGATAGTATCTAAATTGAGAATGTTATGAAGTTGATGCCTTTTTAAACCTCCAATACTTTGTATTGACATTTCTATAGGTAAATCTTCCATCTTACCAAGGGCAGCATAAGTTCAAGTCCATATATTATGAATTATAAGCTTGCTAATGGTCTCTTAAGATCACATTATCCTCAAAATCCACCTATGATAAGATAGGAGATAGATCATAATGTATACTTTGGGTGTATTATTACTATTCTCTAGTATAGATTGGTTTCAAAAAGGAGGAAAAAATTACTAGTTCTTATTTTGTCACGAATATTTTTAAGTTAATTATATTTTTTTGGACCTTATTACCATTTCATTGTTTGCCAGGCTAGTTTACTCTGTATGCTTAAGTTTGATAATAGTTTGTTAATAACTTGTTAGCAATTTGCATAATTTGTTTAATTTTCAACATCTATAATAGGGTACTTCATGCAAGATAGCATTGTCATAAATAAGATTATTATCTGGATTTGAAAACCCTTCTTCATCTATAATGAGACTTACATTCTTGATCAAATGAGAAATTTGAAGCATTGCAAAAGAGGTAAACTCCTAAGTCAAGTGCAAGGCTTGAGCTTATTGTTTATTAAATCTTCCATTTAGTTTTATCTATCAAGTTACCTTTGTCATCCTCATTATAATCTTTTTTAGCCCTTGCCTATTCGTGCTGCATCCTGCAGCTTCACCAGATAATGATAATCAACCACAGCATTGGAATGGTTCTTCAAGCAAAAATTGCATGGATAGTTCACAAAATATTAAAATAAGTTAAACAAATCTCAGTTAGCTATGTCAAGGTTGACAATCAGCATTTTTTATTTCAAAATATTTAACCAGTCCTATGGTCCATTCTGATGTGCTTGGTTACAACACTATAACAGTGCAGATGCTCAATGAAGCAAATTTAAGTTAATCATTATTGAAGAAGATGATAAGCTTCAAACTATCCCTCATGCCACACAAAAAAGTAAATGAAGTAAAATCAAACCATGATCAACTGCTGGACCTAAATATGTGCCATGCTATTAGCATATAATTTCACTCATAGATGTCTATTCTCTGCTGTAATGAAGCTAAAAACACCATGAGCAGCACTCAGCATAGCTCACAAAAGAAGTGCAAGAAGTACAAGAAGCAGGCTTGTTAGATAGTTAAAAATAAAAAAAATAAATCACAAACCATACCGAGATGGCCTTGCTTAGCAGCAACATGAAAAGCATCGAAGCTGTTGCTGGCCTTGATTGCAGCGGACTGAACATCAGATACCTTCAAAATCTCGCTCACCACCTCAACATGCCCTTTCTCTGAGGCAACATACAGTGCCGTCTCCCCATCCTGATTCTGCTTTGAAATAAAATCCTTCAATTGAGCACCACTGCAATCTGATATAATTCTTTGAACATGAACAGGGTTACCAGCCCTTGCAGCAAGATGAAGCGTCGTATCCCCTCTTTTCCCAGGGCTTTCCTTGATCCTTCTTTCAAGAAAGCTCTTCTGCTTTTCCATGGACCCAAACTTAAAGCTCTTTTGCTTTTCCATACCACCCAATTTAAAGCTCTGCAGCCTCTCTAAGGGCCCGAGCCGCAAGCCAGGTTGCTTCTCCATCCTAAAGTTCACAAGATCCACCCCTGCGTTTTCTTAGTCGATCACGCGACTTCTCGTATCCAAATCACAAGAAAGTTTCAGATGACCAGATATCAAAACTATTAATCTGTGAAGGACTAGAATCCATAAATGCGTCAGTAAATCATCAAAGCTAAACAGAGCCCAGAAAGCAAAGAAACCCCTTTTTTTCTTTGACAAGATAGCTAAGCTACGCACCTCCGTAGATAGCAAGCACTCCAACTCCCGAATTATACGTTATTTCTTCCTCCAAATAAAAGCCCAAAAAACCAAGTAGTCAGAATTCAACTGAAAAGGCACAAAAACACCGGTTTTTCTCCAAATCTCAGCTAATAGCCGACATTTACCTCCGGCCAAACATACAGCCAATCAGAGCAGCAGTAGTTGCTCCAAAAAATATAGATTTATCAAGAACCCAATAGGACTCTTCCTTGAGAGACTAAAAGATGAGCAAGGCTGGGCGAAGAGAAAAACAGAGAGCGATGCCTCTTTTCTGAGCAAAATTAACAGAGAAGAAGCCAAACGCAATAATCCACGACACCCAATAACTAAAAAGACTCGGAATTGATTGCAGAGCGTTCTCTAAACCCAGAGACGCTCTACCACTGAGCATCTCTTAGCTCGGCATTTACCTTCAGCGTTCACAGAAAACGGTAACGATTTAAAAAGGAAAGAGACGAGACATTGAATGTGGGCAGATCACTAAGCTGTATGAAGTGGAATCATTCGGTAGATCAATTTGGCTTTGCTTTTAGACTGTGGCGGTGGGAACAGGACAGACGATGGCGGCTGTCGTTTTCGAGGATGATAGAAAGTGGAGAAAGCATCCACGTGGGACCAGCGCAGACGCAACGAGCCAACGCCATGTAGAGGCACGGAATTTATGATCTCATCACCCATTCAACAAAAATTCAAGATCTAAATATTTGATCGATCAATATTATAAAAAGTTCATTTAAATTATTTAAATTATATAAGTTCACTTAATTATTGTGTGTTAACGGTAAAGAAAACGATTAACATTTAATTTTGATGGAGATTAGAAAACATAATTAAATTTATAAGATATTAAAATTTTTAAATGAAAAATTAAAAAAAAAATCATGAGACTTGCGCAATCAAAATAATTCATTATTTACCTAAGATTCTAAAAATTTGCACTGAAAGGCAGAATTACAAAATCAAAACCACTTAGTATTATATTGGGGTGATGAAGATTGGATGATGACGGTCAGGAGACGGTATTAAGACAATAATAGTCTGTTAATAGCAGTAAAAAGATAACAGTTTGGTGATAGCGATTAAATAACTATGGTTGAGACATGTCATCGATCAATTAGAGCTGAGCAAGGACAATAACAATGGTTAAACTATGTATGTTAAGCAATGACGATCAATGGATTACGATCAAGTTATAGTGGTCTCTAGCAATAATCATTAGGTTCATATATCAAGTTAAGTTTCAAAGTTCTTCAAATTTTTAAAGTAGCCTTTAATTTTACCTCCAACGTCAAGCTCCCCCGTTCATGTGAATAATATGAGTATATTTATAATTTTTAAGAGATATTATCATTATTTTTTGTCAATATCACAAAATACTGAATCAAATGGAGATTTGATCATTTTTGTCTTTCAATTAATGTCCAAAAGTTTTAAATTTTTCAAGTGCTTATTTTTAGCCAATTTCAAAGAAAAATATATCATTTTTCTAAGTTATTAGATTCGTTTATTCAAGACATTCAATTCAATTATAAGTTCATTAAAATGAGAGTTTTGATGATCCTAAATTTAATGTTAAAAGTTTTTAATTGATTTGCATCAAGATTCATATTTAATTGAATATATTTTTTGGTGATAGAACATTTTTTCCCTACTATTGGATGTTAAAATTGGTTTCATCCGAAAATGCAGTCTTTGAAAATATTCAGTGCCAAATTATAATTTTTAAAAAATTACACAATGTGACCATTCCTAAGAGGTCAATATGATCGTGAACAAAATATATATAAAAATCCTTATCAGGTTTCATTTATTTATTACAGGCTTTTTAATTTCAAGTATTCAATCCACCTTCTACCTGGCCATGCAATGCTTCAGCTGTAGAGAGAGAAAGACTAATGGGATAAAATATTGAAAGACAGAGGGAGGAATGACTTTCCATTGTGGTTGGAATGATGAAAAGAGATTTTGACGCAGAGTTGCAGTGCTATTTAATTAATTATTATTTAAAATAATTAACTATTTAAATATAATTTTATAAAAAATTTATTGTTAACTAACTATTCATTATCTAATAATAATTATTAAATATTAAATTATCACTCAATTATTTAATTATTTTTGCACTGCTAATGATCTAATTAGTTACTATGAATGATACGTTTTACTTTTCCTCACTCCTTTTGTTCAACGGAAATGTTGCAGCCTCGCACTCATGACATAGTATGAACAGATGACTTAGTATGAGAGATCGCCTCTAAAGTATTTGGCTAAAGCTAAAATTGAAAGCCTAAAGGGGGCTTAAAGCTAATTGTTTTTTTTTGTAATTCTTACTTTTAAAGTTTTTTATTAATCCAGAGAAGCTACCAGCATTTTTTTTGGACACATGACAAGCATTAATGGTTCGCTTTCCCCTTTACTCCTCTCTGGCGACTCACAAGTCATGACCTTGAATGACTTTATTTGCATTCTTAATTTTGATCTTACAGCTCATCTTGGCTTCGGTAATGATCGAGACAACAAACGGAACTATTTTAATATATTATAACCTTCCAAATGAGACGACAAATATACCTATTTTAATTTAGGCCCCCTGAACAAAATTTTTAGCTCTTCCACTGTTATTTGATATTGTAAGGAAGTAAAGTATTTTGAATAATGATTAAACATTCTCCTCCCAAGATTTAACATAAAAAGAAAAGATGTAGATGGGAGCGTGTGCTGGAATATTCATGTTAAGAGTTGCCCTCTCATGAAGAGAATGAGAGGTATTAATAGGGAAAATATAAGTCAAGCTAATTTTAAGGAAAATTAAAATATATTTTTAATTAATAATATAATATTTATTAGAAAATATAATTTATATTAAATAAATATAACATTCAAATAGTTATAAAATGGCTAGTCAAATAATAAGTCAAAAAGTCTCCATATACATCCAAAAGAATGCAAAAATGGCTAGCTTGCTTACAATATTAAAATCACCTAATGTTTAATAAATCATTAAAAATTTAAATTAATTTTAACGTTGGGCATTTAATCTATCCATTTGTATCTATGGAATCTAATGAATCTAATGGAGTGAAAAGCAAACCATAATGTAGAAGCTATAATATAATATTTATTAAAAAAAGAATTGTTATCTATTTGGATCTATTTTATAATATATTAAATATTCATACAAAATTATGATGTAATATAGATAAAATCACTTATATATCCGTAAATTCTTATGAAAAAAAAAAAATAATTCAAAATGAATACTTAATAAAATTTAAAGCATATAGGCTTGACACTTTTAATTACCCCAATTAAGTATCTTTATGTATTTGATATATTTTATGCAATATATGAAGCATTTAGAAATATCTAAATTAATATATAATTTATTTAATCAAGGATTCTTATTGATTTCTATTTTAAGCATATTATCCTTAACTAACAATATGCAAAGCATATTAATAGATAAGTTAAATTCTGAGCAAACCAAATCATACAAGTAAATATTTATGGACCTCTAAAACACTTTTAAATTAATATAACTTGAAAAATTATATCTAAATATCAAAGCTATACATTATGCATGGGTTCTTCTATGATTAAATTTTGATTGAACATGAGTTATACAATATGCATCTCATGTAACCTATCATATTGCATATCCATCAAACCAAGTTATCTAAAATATTTAGCACAAAAATTAGAATATCCAAACATGTACTCATTATCATCAAAATAAATAGACTAGGTTATAATACTCATAAATCCAATAATTGGTGATTGAAACAAAAGATTATTAAGTTTTTTATTTATTTATAATGATATATAACATATTTACAAAAAAATTCTAAAAATTAAAAAATTTGTAAGAAATTCTAACCCATTATCTTCCCTTTAATTACAAGTACTCTTTATTAGGGGGTGAGGGTGTTGACCTCAATACTAGTGTCAAGGTTGAATCAATTATGCACAGTGATTTTTGAAAGTAAAAAAGCACGACATTGTACAACTCACCCAACGTGCTTTGACAAAAAAATCTAAATAATTGAAATAGCCTCTGTCCATGAAACAAATAATTCTAAGGAGTTAGGAGGAATTAAAATAGCTAAGATCGACACTCATATCGGCTAGAATTATCAATTGACAAAAATAAAAATTATGCATGCATGGATCGAGGCAGCATTGACGTGCTTAAATAACAATTTTTTACGGTGAATTGAGTCATAATTGATATACATAAATATTTTCTATTTAATATTAATTTTATGTATTCAAAATTAAAATAAAGAGATAGAAATAGAAAAATAATTAAATAAATAAAATACACTTAATCCCTCATTCCCACTCACTCACTTAAACCTAGCCACCCCTCGAACTCACGCACACGATAGCCCTCCTCATGACACAATCATGCACACACCCCTTTATCCCTCTCAACTCCCTCTCTCACGCATGTGGCCAACTTCGGTCGTTACTAGATGCCTACCATCACTACCAGCATATAGTCCTCGACCACCTAGGTAAACCCTTCCCCTCTTCCTCTCCTTCCTCATGTTCTACTTCTTAATTCTCCTTGTTTTCCTCCTCCCTTAAACTCCATCTTCTTATTTCTTTTTCTTTTTATTTCTCCTTCACATTCCTCCATTCTTCTTTTCTTCTTCTTCTTCCCCTATTTTTCTTCACCTTCTCTCAATTTTTATATTCTTTCTTAAATCTAACCCTAACCTAAACCTAAAAAACTTTATCTCTCTATAAATCCCTCAAATCACTACCTTCACTTAAAAATAACTTTTCACACAACCTCCAACTCCTCCTCTAACAAAACATCCCATCCTATTTTACTTTCTCTCTATATACCTGATGTAATACATGAGTCAGATCAAATATTTTGATGAATAAAAATATTATTGGATGCTTCATTTACTTATTCCTACATCACATTTTGGATATTCATTTTTTTTTATGCTCCTAACCTTTTAGGTCCCACATACATTACATCAAGCAAAGATTAAAAAATCTTTTCAAGGTAGTGTAGTGTTAGGGTAAAACTTAGTCTATATATTTCAAACTCTATATTTTTCATTTTTCTTAAGTCTATTTTTATATTAAGTGTATGTTGGCATAGCAACCGTGCACACACAAAAGGGCTTAAAATTGATTATTTTAGACGTTACGACCTTAAGATGAATCCCTTGAAAGTGTACTTTTGGCATCACGTTGGGGTTTAAGTTTCGTAGTGAGGCACTGCATAATCAAAATTGATCTTGCCAAAATTGAAGTTATCTTAAATATTTTATCACCTAAGAGCCTTACTAAATTAAGGTATTTTCAGGGCAAACAAACAAAAATAGGTGAAAGTTAGTTAGGGGTGTTAAACCTTTATGAACTAGACCGAGGCTAACCAAGAGGGAGGTGAATTGGTTATCTTAAAAATTCTCAAATAGAAATCATGATTCAAACCAAAATGATCACCCACATAAAATAAAATGCAAAAATGCAATAAAAAATA